ATGTCCTAGTATAGGCCTGGATAAGGACAGTAGTCCATAAAGAATCTAACTGACCCAGAGTCACTGTGAAGCAGGAGACTTCAACCAAAACTTCTGCAGTACCAGTCTCCATCAGATTCTCCAGTAAGGCCCTTGGGAAGCCCAAGAGAGCAGATGAGCACAGCTCCTACACAAGAATCAATAAATAACAGCTGTAGAGTTTTAAGCCTAAATCAGACTTGAATGCTGACTTCCCTCTGTTACTCAGCTACTGAAGTAACTCAACATTGTTAGCTGATTACTGAGCCAGCCTTTCAAAATATTAATGACCCACCATCAGAGATTAAGACTTAAGGTTACACAATATGGATGCCCCATCCCTGGAAGTGTTCAAGGCCAGGCTGGATGGAGCTCTGAGCAACCTGGTCTAGTGAAAGGTGTCCCTGTCCGCAGTAGGGGGGTTGGGGACTAGGTGATTTTTGAGGTCCTTTCCAACCCAAACCATACTATGATTCTAAGACTAAGAGATATACTAACGACGTATAAGGTCGTTACCTATTTTATCTCCAGTTACCCTACTCACTCTATAGACTACTCAATAGACAGTTCAAGCACTGGAAGTTTACTCTTGCCTTAAAGGCAGGAATACCTGTTTGCTTGCTGAAGTTTTTTCTGAGGTGGGAAAGAACACATTTTTTTCTTGCCAGTTCCTGAGGTATTGAGCAGAAAAAGAGACATCCCATACACAGCAGAACAGCTGGACTCCTTCTACCAGGAGCATAAGATATTTGGCTGCTTCTGCTAATTCAGCTAAAGAGAAAAAAAGAATGTTATTCTTTTCCTACTGGAAATCCTTTTATTCTTCAAGGATCATTAGCCTAGTGCCATTTCCAGGTCAACTACTGAACTGCTCTGAAGTCTAAACATTGCCTACCACAGCCCTTTTTTGCTCTCCCCTTTAGAGTACTACTATGCTGCCAAGTGCCAACAGTACTACATACAGGTACTGGAAGACAGACTTCACCTCTACTGCTCATGGAATAACCAGGCAAGAACCTACCTACCAATAAGAAGTTAGCTGACCATAGCCTGAGGCTAGAGAGGTTTTTCTGCTCCTGTGTTGTGAGGGATACTGATACACTTCTCAAGATATCTCAAAGTAGTAAAGCAGAGAGGAGCTGGCTTGCACTTCAAAAGCGAAAAAATTCTTGAATACAACTGAGGGAAGAAGTTATCAGGTGTGAGTTACTCCTCAGAACACTGCTTCTCAGCAGCTACACAGCAGCGTGGATGGACAGTGAGTACAGTACTACTACTGTACTTCTCAGCTGCAAGGAGACTTGTGAAGGCAGCTGCCAACTTCTACTGCTACAGGTTGGTCAGACAGGAATGCAGTTACATGAGTAAATCCAAGCCAGCCCAAGACAAAAACCTTCACAATTTCTACACCAACCTTAGTCACATATCCCTTATCTCAGCAGATCATCAACACTGACAAACTTCTTAGATGAAGGCATATGTTCCTGGAGAGAAGGTAAGCCTGGCTTCTCACTAGAGCAACAATGGGCACATGTTCAAGGAAAGGCCTCCTTAAACAGGCAGGAAGAAGTGCTGAATCCATACGTGACAGATGCAGGCAGCAGGTGAAACATGGAAGAGGCCAGGCTACTTTGACTCACTCTGTAACATGGGAGTGTATCGGGCCAGATATTGCTGAGAGTCCCAAGGCTGATCCATCCTGCCCAGAAACAGCTCCATGCTCCCCAGGACAACAGCCATAGAGGAAGCACCTCTTGACACCAGCAACTCAGTAACACTAGCAGCACAAGCCAGCTGGCCCAGGACTGCTTATTATAAAACTTCAAACCAATATCACCCCTTGCAGTTCTTGCTCCCAGGAAATCCTACCTCACACATTTCAGGAAGTCTGTCTACAGAGATACCAAGTCCTTGCAAGTGCAGCTAATGTATCAACAGTGGTGTACTGCCACTACCGTTTTCAGTGCTGCCACTACTGAATTATCACATCCAAGGCCCGCACACACGGGGAAGGCACTTCACAAAGTCCACTAGTGTCCTGTGGACATTAGCCTGATCTAGAGAAGGGAAAGCGGGCACAGATACTCCTGCAACAGCATCCTATCCGTATTACAGAGCTGTGAAGCAGTGAGAAGAAGTTCATCTTGGAAAGGACAATCACAGACCATCTGATGGCAAGCTTGACGGTAAGGAAACAGCGGCAGCTGCAAGCTTTGCCCGTGAGGGCTTCAGGAAGGAGAGAGATAGCAAAGAAGCTGCAGCAATTCCTGAAGCATTTACACCTTTCTGTAGAGGGTATGAGCCACAGGCAGATACTGCCTCTCGCAACCACCGCGGTGACAGCGAGGGACACGATGCCTTCAGCCCTCACAAAGGGTGCCTTCTCCCGGCTCGAGCAGCCCCGGGCTCTTGCAATCGATGTCAGCAGCGCCCAGGGCTTCATTTCCCCGCGGGGAGACGAAGCAGGGAAAAGGGATGTGGCGTGGCAAGACACACACAGCCCTTCTCCCTCCTCTCCATGCTCTCTTTCAACAGAGAGGGGCAGAAAGGTCTTCAACATCAGCGCCCCCGCCCTCCAAATGCCGCGCCCCCCTTCCCCGGGCCGTACCTTGTCGGCGATGCTGCGGGGCAGGAGCAGGTCAGGGCTGGGGGTGAGCGCCGGCCCCATCTCCTCGCTGCTGGGACGTGGCCAGGGATGCGCATCTCCCGCAAGCAGACTTGGGCCCGGAGGACGGAGGGCTTGGGAGGCTCGCCGCGGCCGCCGACCATCGCTCCGGGGCCGGCAGCGACTGAGGCAAGGGAAGGAGGAGCGGAGGGGCCGCGCCGAACTCGGCGAGGAGCCTGCGGAGGCCGCGGCTGGAGCCTTGCCCGCCACCGCCGGCGCTCACGAGGAGCGGCAGAAGGCGCGGCCAGCGGCTGCCGGCGAGAGGAGAGGAGCGAGCGCAGCGCCCGCCTACGCCGTCCGCCGCCCGCCCGCTTTTCCAAGGCGCCATTCCCGTGCCACCTGCCGCCCCGAGCCCGGGCGGGCGGAAGGCGCGAGCGCCGCCGGCGCGGCCGGAGCGGGAACAGCGCCGCCCCGCAGACCGGCGGCGGCGGCGAGGGGAGCGGCCCTGGAGGCGCATCGGGACCCGCCGAAGCCCCCAGGCGGGGTCGGGCCCGGGCGCCGGGGAGGGAGGTATCGGGACCCTCGAAGCCTGGGGCGCTGCCACCGCCCCCGCGACGGCGCTGTGCCGCACGTGTCGAACGGCGGGTCAAGGCGCCAGAAAAGCAACCCAGCTCCTCGGCTTTTCCAGGCTCAGTTCACCGACCTCAAACTGTGTGCGTGTTTGAAGGGAAGCTGTGGAAAACTGGTGCATGACGAGAGCTCCACTGAAGTCGGTGTCGGTGTGGGCGGGAGGGTGCCTGAGATGGCAGCTGGGCTTCGGCGGCGCCTCCACCGGGCAGGACCGACCCCCGCCGGGCACAGGAGGGACAAGGCCCTCACCCCGGGCCTCCCTCGCCGTGGGAGTGCATCAGAAGTGGACACACAGGCAGAGGCTTGCACGTAGGGCCAGCAAACCACAGAAACACGCTTTCACTGATGGCCTTTTGTCTGCTTTCACTGCATTTGAGAGATCTTGCATTTTTGTAGAGTAATGAGATGAAATATTATATTAAATCATGTAGAAGTGATCCATGCAAATTTGTCTAGCAGCATGTATTCATCACCGTGATCTATCCACATTTAATAACGTGGAAAAAGTGCTGATGACTGCAGAATAGTTAATAAATGGATGAAAAATAATAGTCTGGTTTAACATATTCCCTGAGCAGATAAAGCAGCTAAATTTGTCTGATTCCTTATTTTTTTTTTTGCAAATAATGTGGTCAGCACTAATTAGACATACTAGAGTAACATGCTACTGGGGCAAGTGATGTATTACTATGAGACTGTCACAATCCCTTCCAGCTATAGATAGATATATGAATGTAAACATACAAGACTTGACCTAACAAGACTTGGATGCTGTAAATATTTCACTTGTGTCTTAACTTTTCCCGGGCGAGTACAATCCACTGAAATCAAAAGTGCAGCACCAGTACCTAAAGCTAAGCTAGGAAGTTTTACAGGTGTCAATGCCAGGTGCCACACAGCAGGACAAGCATGAGAGCGCAACACGGTGGACTGTCATTACAAAAAGAAATCCTATTTATCACAGGGAAAAAAATCAATGCTTACTATAAATAACTACTCAATGTTACATAATGTTTGAATTCCAATAACAATCAAAAGTCCAAATAAAGTGCCAGGCCCCAGTGAGAAAGCAGCTGTGAAATATTCTTTGTTCGTGACACTTCAGAAACAACAACCTATGTATCAGGAAAAGGAAACAGTACAAATTATCATAAATACATACATCTCAGCCACCTTCTAGACTATCCAAATCTTAAGTGGAAACTACTGTGATAAAGCAGCAGGTACGTTTGTGTATCTGCTCCACTGCTCAGGAACTAGTTCCCCTCAGTGGGAACTCCCTTTGCCTCCCCTTGCAAGAGCCTGTACTTCAAAGGCTTATGACTTACTAAGAGCTATTCCTCTCTTTTCCCTTAAGCATCCTCACCCACCTTTGTTTCTAGCTGAATCCCTCTCCAAAGGAAGCTTGTCAGGGACACCCAAAACCTTCAACGCTTGGAAACCTTGGGGCATTCTAGCTCTGTGCAGGTACAAATGACCTTCTAGTCATCAAACCTTGGCTTGGTGGACAGCGAGCTGAGCATAAGTCTGCTGCATCCTTGCAGGAAAGACCAACAGTATCCAGGCTGCCTACACAGCAGGCAGCACAGGCAGCAGGTTGAGGGCGGGGTTTATAACTCTCTGCTTGGCACCTGTTACACCTTATCAGATATACTGTGTTCAATTGTGGGATGTTTATACAAGATGCTGACAAACTGGACAAAGTTCAGAGGGGGGCACTGTGATGTCTGATGACAGGAACACTTACCTACAAGCAGCAGCCACGAGGCTGAGGCTTTTTCAGCCTGGAGCACATGTGGCTTCAAGGGCACTTAATTGCAACCTCCAGTATCCCAGAATGCAAGAGAGAACTGGGCTTTTCACAGCAGACTATAGCAAGAGGACCAGAGACAAAGGACATCAATCAAAACAGGGAATTCCTGATGGATGTTAGGAAGAATTTTTTCTCCCTGAAGACAGCCAAGAGGCAGAGCAGGTTGCAGAAAGAGATTGTGCAGTCTCCACCCTTGGAGATTCTCAAGACAATCTAGTCTGGTCTCATGTCTGAGCCTCCTTTAAGCAAGGCATTGGACCAGAGACCTCCCGATGTCCCTTCCAGTGTGAAAGATTCAGTTATTCAGATAACGTGTTGCTACAGAAGTCATTATGTCTAGTTTCTGAGGTGACCTCTCAATTATCCTGTATACAAGGATGAAGTTCCATGTTCCAGAGATTTTACTTACTGACTAAAGACAGATGCCTATTCTCTGATTTTAGTAAGTACTAAGTCTGTAAAGATTATACAGGTAGCAGTTTAACCATGACAGATACCTTCAGAAGCAGATGCAAACTATGATACTGAGAATGAGAAGAAAGCCGTATTGGATGGGATATGAGCAACCTGGTCTAGTGGAAGATGTCCACTGGGGTTGGAACTAGATGATTTTTAGGGTCCCTTCCAACCCAAACTATTCTATCTTTCTATGAGAAGAGTTCAAAAATCATAAATCATATGTGAAAATTGATTAAACTAACTTTAAATGTGTAATCTGAAAAATCTCTACAACTGGATGGCCTTTTCTTTGCTGTATTCTCTGCAAGTTCATACTACAGACTAAGGTGAGCCTCCTCTTCAGCCATGAGAAAAACTCGTTTCTATTTTTTTTTGACATGGAAGACTACAGTCTCGTGTACTTGATTTCAAGGGCTGGAACTTCAAAAAGACAGAAGATAAAACAGTTTTAAGACTTGCATTTGAAATTAGAGTTGGGAGCAAATTCCTGTACCTTGATTAGAACTACTCACACATTATCAACAGAGGTCCTAAAGAATTCCAGATCTTTTGTGCATGAAACAAAACATAAAAAAAGGCATGCTATGTAGCTGACTTCTTATAGGAATTGTTTTCTATACACAAATAGAAAACCTCTAAATGCACAAGCATGTGGATTATGTGGGTCCAATAGCAGGCACAAGAGGTACAGCCAAAAACTGAGGAAGGAAAGTGTCTTTTTTCTAACACCAGCAGTGAAATAAGTAATTATTTTAATTCTGCTAAGAAATTATGAGTGATTAAAAACATGGTAATGTACCATTCTCCAGTTCCTACTCCTTACCACCAACTGTGATGGTATAATTTTATGACTGTAATATTGTTCTTGACCTTTATATTGGTAGTTTTCTTTTTGTTAAACATTGACCAAGCGAAAACCAATACGCACATGAAATATGCAACCATATAATAAAAGACAATGAAAACCAAAATCAATGACAAGTTGGCTGGAAGCTGCTATTCAATGCCCACGTCTTAACCCAAGTTAACCTGAAAAAACTGGCATGCTCTCCTAGCAAAATCCTAACTATTATTTATTATGTTTACATCATTTCAGATCAGAAACAAGATGAAACAGAATAGGTATGCATGTAATGCTAACTGGGCAAGAAGAAAAATGGTCGATCTGGGGAACAAGAATCTCACCAATTTAAGACCAAAGGTCACCAGGTTCATGTGTTTTTTTCTGAAGAAAATAGCTCTGCCTCTGTATCACTGAAATCAAAGTCCTGCAGGCTACCTCTTTGGATTGTTACTTGGATAAATAAGGAAAGAATCTACAGGTCACCTGTAGGAAGACTATTTACAAATTTAAAGACAGGCAGTACCTATCTTGTACTGCTGTTCTGATTTGAAGTGCCAGTTACTCCAATAATACCACTCAGGATGCTTTTTTAATGGCAGATGGCTTTATAAGTGCTCAGTGTGAGCTGAAAAGGACTCTCAGTTGTTTATTAACATTGTCTTTAATGTATCTTCATCTTATTCAGATAATGAGACATAAAATGGCAGTAGGGTTTACAATCAATATCAGGAGGCTAACTTCAAGTTGTATTTGTTTACTAGACCAAACATGTAAAGCACACCTGCTTTTCATTAATTATTCTATTTAAAGCCTAAATTATAGGATTCTTCTCTATAGCACAATCCAAACAGTACAAACAATAAGGTAGGCTGGAGGCCACAACAGTCATACTGTCAGGCTTGGCTGGTTTGCCAGCTCAAGGGCAGTAAAAGCTCTTTTCCCACGCTGTCAACAGCCTCCCCTCAACCACTTTATCTTTTCCCCACTGTGGTCTACCTTGGAAAGGATAATGTTTGTGTCTGTCTGCACGTAGGCACATATGAAACCAATATGGAACAAGAGACCATTCTAGAGGATGTAAAAAAAAAAATAAATAAAATCCAGATGTCTTTTGAAGAAGGTCCTTCCTTCCTTATGCTTTTAAAGCTCATATCTTGTACTGCAGAGATTGAAGAGGGCAGGCTTTTGACCCGACCCAGTTGAATCTTATGCTCCTGCTCATTGACTCTCTACAGAGATGGGATCAGTTTCAAGTCAACAGCACACAACACATGAGCACTCACACACACGTGTAAGCTAACAGCTAAGCTTTTGCTGCATCAAAAGCCTTCAAAGCTGTCAAGTTTGATGGGGATGCAATAAAAAGGAGAGTGGGAACATAGGGCACTTGTGATAGAAAGCAAAAGCCCATGCTAAATGGCTATCAAATGAAAAATCAGAAATCCAGTCAAGGAGAAAGAAGGTATGGATACATGGATACAGTATCTTTAGGCAAGTGGATATAAAAAAGTGATACAACTAAAATGTTTAAAGACTCTTCAAAACATTCTACTTTGTTTGAGGGTTTGGGGGTTTTTTTTGTGACAAAACACGAAAACCATAAATAGAGAAATAAAAGGAGGTGTTTAGGATGGCTCTGTATGAGTAGCACTGCCAACTGGAAATAAGAGCAGCATTCTGGAAGATCTTGGCTCAAGCCAAGGAGACATCCTGCACATACTATTTTCACTGAGTGGGGTGCGGGGGGGGGGGGAACAACAAGTAAATCAATATTTTACCTCAGCCTTGTGAGTAGAACTGCCCATGGCCATTCTGAAATACTGACATGATCATTCAGTATCACATCCAATTTAAAATAGGGGTGTTTTTATATAACGAGATACACAGCTCCCTCTACTCTAACATGACAAGAACAGTCAGCCTGAAAAACAGCATTATATTGCCTCAAGAAACAGCATGGCCAGATTTGTGAGGCAATGTTCAAGAAAAGCTTTATTAAACTGAAAATTTTGTAATGACTTTTCAATAGACACACTATAAATGCTACATTTTATATTTTTTTATTTGATTATGGTGAACAAAAAGGAGTAGTTTCAGGGAAAAAGAAAGTATTCTAAAACACTAGAGATTAGACACCACTCCTTTCAAGGGCTTCATTCCTTCCTGTTTCCAGAACCCAAGGAGGAAATTAATTGACATTGATATGAAACTCCTCCCAAAGCCAAAGGATCATTTGACTTGAGGCAGGACGATGTTTTTGCAGAGATGGTCAAAGTTACTATAATCAATTTTCACCACACTCGTACCGAAACAAAGAATTAACGAGTCTCAGCTTTTCTGCACCTGAGTTTCCTTGCTGATGATTCCTCCTCCTCGCCCTGCTACTTCTTCCTTCCTTGAGCCCCAGCCAAGGACCACTGTCCACTAATTAATTCTTAACAGCATTAGCTGTGTCCAGAAAGAGCCCAGCAGCTTAGCCTGCCTGTCTCAAACTACAGCTTTTTAGAATCACTAACAACCTCAGTCCTCTCATGACGATGCAGAGAAATGCACCAGTTAGGATTATTGGCTTGGGTGCTGCGCTGGTCTCCACTCACAATGCTTCTTAGCAGTTAAGGATAACAAGCAAGATATCTAGATAAAATGGATGGCAGATCACCCAAGAGAATAATTAAAAGGGGAAAAAAATAGCACATACGACAGTTCTCACGGCACAATGAGAAATTACAAAATGAAACAAAACGAAACATGAAAATCAGGAGGGAAGGTGCTCAGTCAGCTGTTCATGCAAAGAGAACAGTTGAAAATAATACTCGTATGTGGGAATGGCAGCAATGTTTGCTTTCCACAGTATTAATTAACATAGCTATAAAGCAAACAGAAAACTCCCTGAGATTGTCCCCTGGTTTGGGTAGAGACACACACACCCACCCAGACAAACACACACACAGGCACACTGGTTTTACCAGGCCAACAATCCAGGTAACTAAATTCTACATCTGGACATTGCAAGTTTCCAGATATAAATTTGTTCAGTTTTTCTAATTTTACATTTAGTGTTTGAAAAGTAAGCATAAATGCTTGGACACACAGCACACTTGGGTAGCAGAATATTGCCTGTCTCACAGAATCTATGTGTATAATACTAAGGCACACTATTTTAAGACAAATTAATCAATTAGTGTAGATACTGACAGGATTTTTATACATTCTGTACACCTTCAAAATGTAATTTATTTCTTCATCATCTATATAGCTGGCTGCAGCAGACCTTAAGAAATGGTTTATTGCCTTCAACATTTGATTGTCCAAGCTAATGGACTAGTGTGGCATTTAACACCAGGCACACCCTATGTATGCTTTTACCAATATAAATAATTCCATTGTAACTAAACCTACAGTTTTTAATAAGCCATTATGCCACTTTAGGCCTGAAGAGTGAGGAGGTTATGGACTTATAATAGACTTATAATATGGACTTACAGAAAGAGGAAGCACACGAAATTACTCTGCAGTGTGCAGAGGGTTTGACAACCAGATCCAATATCACCTTTACCATAAAAAAGTGCCATTTGCTCAGAAATGCCTGTTACATCTACCATCAAAACCTTAATATTAAAAAGGTAAAGCCAAAGTGTGTCTACACAGAGACACCTGGAACTAAGTCATAAAAAAAAAATAACTGATTTCCTGTACTTGTCTTTCAATTTGGTAAAAAAAAG